AAGTCATGTTGCTCTGTGTTACATATGTAGATGCATACATAAATATGTATGTATATATTATATGCACATACATATTTACCGCAGTTAGTGCCACTAATCCGCGATGGCTGTAAGGGCGAGTACGCGAGAGTTACATAGTTTTAACATTTTGTTTCTTTTCGTTTCTGTAAGCGTAAAACGGTAAGTCTGAGTTTACACGGGGATACTTTTTGTCGACAAAACAACGCATTTTGAACTGATTGGAGATGTCTTAAATTTCAAACGAGTAAATATCGTAAGTTTGGAAATTGAAATTTGGGTTTTTATTACAATATTTATGTAAATGTGCATGCAAACATATACTTATGCCTATGCGTATATGTCTCCAATTATTAATAAATATTTCAGCTAATGGAATATTAGAGAGTATTGAAGAAACCGCAGAGATTGACTCTGAAGATACCGAAAAGGGTAAGATGGTAATTAGATTACACTTAGGAAAGGGTAGAGCTGTTGTTTATTCCAAAAATATATAACAGAAGTAAATAAATAAATGCTGTGTTTTCTTTTACACAATCATAGCTCTTTTATTTTAGAAATATTAGAAAGCGTGAAGCGAACGGAAAATTGCGGAATTGAAAAAAAAAATGAAAAAAAAAACAAATGTCAAAGAATTGCTTGAAGAGAGTGTCTATTTGTGAACGTGAAAAAATAAATACGATAATAAGCGACAAAAGTATCCTCATGTGAACCCAGACTAACAAACCAAATATGTAACCGACCCGGAACGATCTGCTATCAATCTATGTACATAACTTCCACCACAGCACGTGCTTTGTATTGTTATTCGATCTTTTTTCTTTTAATTTCGCTTTCGATGATTTTTGTTTTTGTCTATGAGACAAACTTGTTTTATTTTGTTTTGTTTGTTTGTTAATGAAAATGGAAAATTTTTTCTTGAAAACAACATGCTCGCGTGAGTGAGATAGCTATAGTTGTAGAATTTATGAGCTAAGATAGAGAGAGAGAGAGAAAGAGAGAGAATAGGTGTATTTGAGAGCGCGCATGTGTCAAAATTTAGTGAGAGACAATAAATTACATAAATTCCGGTCTCCAAAAGCAAATATTTGCATATAAAGTACTGTTATGTTTTGTTCTGCCAATTGTTTATTATATCATGAATCACATTTCAGTGAGATCTCTTGTGTATGCTATTGTAGTAGCTACGTATGTATATACACGTATGTATATACTTATGTAAATAAAAACATAAAACTTCCTTTGTTACCTTGCCATTATACAATCACCGTTAGTTTTAATTATTATTATTAATTTGTTTTTTAACATTTAATGATTTGTTATTGTTTTCATTTATTTACCTTTCATGAATCTGCAAGTATGTGTGTAGTACCGATTTTTCTGATTTAAGATTTTGAGTTTGAAATCCTTCAAAAAAGTATTTTATATATATATAAATTCGGCAGAGCTCCTCCTCCTGTTTGTGGTTTTGCGTCGTGGAGTTTTTCCAACAAATGGAGGAACATACATTTTATACTAAGCCGCCTCCGAACGGCTCACGGTTTTGTTATGTGGAGCCTTTATTTCATGTCAGGAATACACTCGGAGAGGTTCATATTCCCTACCAAGGGGCGCCACAATCAGAAAAGTAAGCTAAGTCCTTGTTTGGTAACCATGATAATAGTTTCAGACGTAATTTTGATAGTAAACCTGCTGACCTGCAGGTAAATTAACGCGTAGGTTAGCCTGAGTAGTTCTTCTCTGAAGTGCTTTTCTGTCACAATGCCTATGCGAACAAAATAGCTACTATTGTTACGAGGAGATCCCTAGACACCATTCGTGAAGTAATGGAAAGCTATATATTTCACAAGAAGGTACTAAACACCCCGGCGTAGGAGACCTGCGACACTCAATGGGATCCTTTCCCCTAACCTCACGGATTGGTGTTAGACAAGGTACGACTAAATCTCGTATTGAATACCATTGAAAAGTGTGCAGCGCCTCTCTGCATAGCGCATAGCAGGAGCGCTAAGGACAAGTCCTTGAAAAGTTTCTTTACATACCTTCAATCGTAATCGCAGTGGGGATCACTGCAAGGAAATCCAACTTGAGAATGATAGCTAGAAACTTTGGGCACAGCTCGATATGCGGGTCGATGCTTTGAGCAAGATTTCAGGCAAACCTTCAAACTTCCAAAGTACAGCAGTATTTTTCCGACGAAGGTTGCTATAGAGAAAGGTGCTAAGTCAGAAAATGTCCTTAGAAGCAGGGTAAAAGTAGTTAAGGCGGGTGGGGGTAAGTAGCTGCATATATAGATATACTGGGTTCCAAGCTATAAAGGTATTGTGGACAACGAAGTAGCATATGAAATTGCCAAAATCGCTAATGAAATTCCCCAAATTTCTGGATGACATTTCGGAGTGAGATGGAACACAATAGAGACGTGCAAACCAACAACGTAAGGACTGCAGAACAGTTGTTGGCCTAATGACGGACCACGACCTACTGCCATCCCATGGGAGCAGAATGAGCATTAGCAGCAGTGACGCATGTAGAATGCGCAGGGAGGAAGGCATTAATGAGACGCTAGAACACCTCCTGTATTTCTGTCCGTCCTTAGCTAAAACTCGCCTAAAACATCTCGCGAGTTGGTAGTTCAGAAGTCTAGGGGAGGCTTCAAAATTTGACACTGAAGCTTAGCGAAAAGCTTTGACGTCCTATACGGTGACTACTTTAGATTGCAATAAAACAAATCACCATCTGTTACACACAAATGTATGTACAACTTTATAAAAATAATTCTGAACTTTATCAACAAAAAAAAAAAAAACTTTAAAAGAGTACTTAAAAAAGTATTAGAGAAATAATTCTTGTAAATTCAGTTAAACCTTCTTTTTAAGCAAATCAATATTCAAGTTGTTTTTTTATTGTCTCTTGAAATCTTTTTCTTTTCTTGCAGCGATTTTCGTTGCCATCATCAATCATTTCCAAGTCCCAAGGGGACAATGCTTTTATCATGCTGCCGATAAATAAAATTTATTTGCATGCATACAGACATACATATATACACATGTATGTAAGTATATGCGTTTATATGCACATATATATAACTACATATTTAAATAATATTGTGTACATAATTGCACACAAATATATGTACACATGTAGATATGTTCATACAGTAAATAAACATAAACTCATGTAATACTCCTTCCAATTCAGAGCCACACCGGCTTTCGCAACTGCGTAATTTCTTAACATTGAAAACTTTTGGTAGGAAAAAAAAACACAAGAACACATAAACCAAGATCTTCGTTCTCTAATACTCATATTTGCAAATTTTCTGTGGTATTTGTGCCGGTAAAAAACAAACAAGCCGTGTTTTTTTTTTGTTTTTGGTAAACGATTTGCATGAAAACCAGATGGCTCGTTTATAAGCGGGTAATTATGTATGTATGTATGTACGAGTACCAGAAATGTCATATTTACGCTCCCCTGCTGAGAGCTCTATTCACACAATCTCTCTACAGTGTTCTACGATTTTCTACGTCTGTTACGTGCAGTTTTTGATTGTACGGTGGCACAAGAGCATGGAATTAAGATATTTTTCTAAAATATTTATGGAAATAATGAAAAAAAATCGATTTTAATCAAAGGCAGACGAAATGTTGCTTTATCGTAATATGTTTATGTTAAGTTCAAGGTTTTTAATGATTGACTGTAACATACTATGTGTGTATGATAATCATTTTGTATGTACCTATAGTATTTTTGTTTTTTATTTATTTTTCTAACGCAGTCGAATTTTTAAATACATTTTTAAATTAGGTATTTCGCTGTGGGAAAATTTTATGATTGTTGGATTGATATCAATACATTAAGCACTTATCATCGAAAAATTATTATTTTTATTCAACTAGGTTACCACATTATTTGATAATAATATTGCATCAGATACGCCCAGAGTGCACGTTGAAAGCCATGGCGAACATGAAAATGTGAGAAATATTCTTTCAAACTCCTTCCGAAAGCATCAATACAAACTCCAATACCATAGAATGGAAGCCAAGCGGAGTTAAGAGTAAAGCTGCACGATGCCAGAAAACTAGTTTTAACCCAACATTTTATTGTTTGATCATTTGTCAAAACAAATGTTTGAGTTAATCTGTTTGAATGCTTTCGATAATGTCATCGAAGGTTTAAATTTTTCGTAATTATAAAAAATTACTTCTTATTTATTCATAAGTTGATGAAATTCACTAAACTATTTTCATTTTTCATTTATTTGATGTATTCTTAATTTAACAAAATTAAAATAAGTGCAAATTACAACACTGGTTCCTGCATCCACTCTTTTATAATATAACCAATATTGATCAGCGATGATTGGAATCACCTTTGTGATCAGTTCTGCTTTCAACGCGCACTTTGTTTGAAACCTCATTCGAGATTATAAATTTGCAAGAGTCAACCCGGTAGCTTAACGACTGGCAAACATATTTTGAAGTATAGGAAATTTTAAGAAAGTCACTAAAAACTTATTATCATCCTGTTTCATGTAAATTGGTAATAAATCAAAAAATTAAAGAGACAAAAAATTTTCGAACTTGCCGTGAATCGCTTTGAAGGCACTGAATAGAGATTGTAGTTCAACTTTATGTTAGCTTAAGTCCAAGAGGAAACCATTATAATATTTTGTTTTCGCTAAAAAAAAGCAAAGAATTGATGATGAAGCGTATTATTTTAATTCCAACAAAGTGCAAAAAACTCAAACCATTTGTTGCACCAAAAACAGATTTTAAGTAAATCGGTCTATTTTGAATTTAGAAATGCAAAAGTTTTTTTTTAATATTTATTTATTATTAGTGAGTTATAAAGATCAAACGCTTACCCTTTTTAAAATGAAAAAAAGATATCGAAGATTAATTAAAAATAAATAATTATTCTTTTTTTTGGCATATTTTTAATTAACTCTTCTTTTGAAAGCACCAAGAAATATTTTTTAATATTTTTTTTTACTTGATTTTCCAAAAAAAAAAAAGTATATTCTTCGCTTTTCTTATACATAATTCGCTAGCAATTAATCAATTTATTACACTATGCAGAGAAATATTGATAACAGAAAAATTCACTGCTAATGTTAATAATCAAGCCCCGCTACTGTTAACCTCATAACAGAGAGAAGAGTACATGCGCTGTTATTGTTCTCTAGTCAAACAAATGTATATGTATAATTATTTTATCATTTCCTGTCATACGTGTATGTATGTGTGTGTATGTGCGTGTATGCGGCCATCGTGCACAGTAGTAGTTGAAGAATTTGTAGGTAAGTGCCTGCCGCTTTTTATATCAATTCAGTTCACTTTCAGCCAGCGAGTTTTACAGTTGAGAAATTTCTTCTGCGTTTATATATAAGCAATGTTTGTTGAAGGAAATTATTGCGTTATAAACAACGTGCACCAAAATAATTCAATTTGAGTTTATAAATAATAATTATAAAAAGTGCTACAAAGTTTAAGAAAATACACAATTTAAAATATTTACATACATGCGTTGTATATTTACATATATATACATATGAAATTTGTGTAATCAAGACGTGCGGTTTAGTGGGTGTGTCTCAACAAAGCAACTTTTAAGTTATTAAAAAAAGTGTTTTGTGTAGTGAAATTTCACGAATTTTGTAGCTCAAAAATTTCTTCGTTTTTCAAACTACATACATATATAAAACTAAAATACTTTATTTAAATATACATACATATATATACGAGTTTGAAAAAAAAAATTTAACACCCAAGTTGAGGAAGAAAAAGAGATGTGTAGCCACTAAAAAACCGGTTGGCTTTGTAAGCATTTGAACTGAATAAAAAATTATTATTTCTCTCTGACAATAACTTAAAAAAGTCGCGTAAAAGTAAACAAACAAACAAAAAGTAAAAGGAGAAATAATAACTTGCAAGCAATAACAACATCGGCCTACAACCAGTTGGTTGCCAGTCAGCTTGCAACTGTGACAGGTTTGAAGGAAATTAACATATGAGAAATGGAGAAGAGTTGTTAAAAATAAAAATATATAAATACACTTAAATAATTGTGTGATTGCAATTATTTTTTAACTTTTTGAAGTAGTGGAGAGTTGATTTTGTAGCAAAGAAAAAAATTATAATACAAAAATCAAAACTTGTGCATTGTAAAAAATTGTGAGTGAATCCATAAAATCCAAATAAATACAAGTTTATAAAAATAAAAATTTATTGTTACATATTTCAAATGCATAGCAATATTTACCGGTAAACAAATCATTACGTAAGTTTTTAAAATAATTTCTGATATATATACATATCAAGATATCTTTTCAAGCTCAAGCTGTTACACACGCTCTCTCTCTTGAAGAAATGCTAGGTACTAAATATCATATACTTGTACACATGTATATCATACATAACTATACATGACAAATAGTATATCTACTCAGTTGAGCATAAATTGAATTAAATATAGCAGAAAAGTCTATAGAAAATGGCACTTTGACCGCGAAAATCAACAACAAAAAGATGTTGACGATTGCTCTGACAGTTTCATCTATAGTTTGTGCTTACACAGCAGAGTGAAATTAAGTGACAGGCAGGTTAGGGTGATAAAGTTAGTTTCAAATATGTTTAAAAATCATGTAATTTTAAAGATTTATATTTTCTATCTCCATCTGTTTTTATTTTTTTTATTTTTTGTTAACCATTTGAAAGATTTAATTTTTATTTAAAATTAATTATTATTTAAAATTATAAAAGTTTTTTTTTAATAGCTATCAATTACACAACAAGAAGTTCTTATATATGTATGTGTACTTGCAGACATATACGTGTGAATGTATGTACTTCACGCTCAATACATTTGATCAAATTATCTCGAGCTCTTTGTTCCTTTCATATCTTCCTTAATAAATGCAAAGGTTTATTTGTTCATTTCGCTTGTAAAATTAAATAAATTAAAGCAAAAAAGAAAAAAATTGTGTAAATAAAATGAAAAAAATAAATAAAAGTAATTAAAATAAATGAAATTGAAGTAAATTAAATTAAAATGAAATTAATAATTAATTTAATTAATTAATTAATTTAAAAATAAGATAAATTAAAAAAATTACAAAGAAAATAAAATTAATTAGAATAAAATAAAAAATTATAATAATAGAATACCATAAAATAAAATGAAATAAAATAACACAAAATAAAATAAGACAACATAAAATGAAATAAATTAACATAAAATGAAAAAATAAAATAAAATAAAATAAAATAAAATAAAATAAAAAAAGTTAAAAAAAACAAACTAAAATAAAATAGGATAAAATAAAATTACATAAATAAAACGAAAATAAAATTAGTAACATAAAATAAAATAAAACAAAATAAAATAATATCCAAAAAATAATTGGAATAAAAAAATAAATTAAAAAAAAATAAAATAATAATAATAAACCTACATAAAATGAAATAAAAAATGAAATAAAAAATTTAAATTTAAATAAAATTAGCTAAAATAAAATAAAAACAATGAAATAAAATAAAAATATTACAAAATAATTTATAACGAAAAACAAAATTATTAAGAAAGTGAATAAAAAATAAAAAAATGAAATAAAATTAAAAAACTAAATAAAATAATATAAAATGTAACAAAATAAAATAAAAAACACTACAATAAAATTAAATCAAATAAATTACAATAAATTACTATAAAATAAAAATAAAATTGAGTAAAATAAAATATCTAGTAAAATAATATAAACCAAATAAAATTATATTATGTTAAATTAAATCAAGCAAAACAAAAAATAAAATAAACCATAGCAAAATAAAGTAAAATAAAAATCACAATTAAATAAAGTAAGGAAATAATACAATAATATAAAAAATGAAATTAAAAATAAGTTAAATTGAAATATATGAAAATAGAGTTAAATAAATTAAAACTGAATATAATATTTAACTTTACCTTATTTAGGTTTGTTTTATTTAAATACCAAAATATAGTATAATTAAAAATAAATTAAAATTAAATAAAAATAAATTCAAATTAAATAGCAAAATATAATAAAAGTTAAAATAAAATTAAGAAAGATAAAGTAAAGTAAAACAAAATTATTATAAAATTAAAAAATTTATATAAATTTATTATTATTAAAAATTATTATAAGATAACAAAAAAAAAGAAATACATAAAACAAATAAAAAGGTAAATAAAACAATAAAACAACATTGTAACACATTTGCTAATATAAAATAAAAGTAAATGAAAAATAATATCATATAAAATACAATAAAATAAAATAAAACAAAGTACAATACAATAAAAATAAAGTGCAATACAGTAAAACAGTACAAAACAAATTCAAATTCAATAAAATACCATAAAATACAATAAAATACCATAAAATAAAAACAAAAATAAAAGTAAGTTAAATAAAATAAAACAAAATAATATAATAAAATAAAACAAAATAAAATAAAACAAACTTAAATTAAATTCTATCAAAAATTTTTATTGAAATGGAATAGAATAAAGTGAAATTATTTAAACTATAAATAAAATGAGATCGAAATAAAAAAAATAAAACAAAATAAATTAAAAATTAAGTTAGTAATATTAAATTAAAATTAAATTAAATTTAAAATTAAGAAAGTGAAGTAAAAATTAAGCAAAATAAAATATAAAAAATATATTAAAATATAGTACAATGAAATAAAAGAAAACCAAATAAAATTAAATTAAATTAAATAAAAAAAATCATAACATAAAGGAACAGAATGAATTGAAATCATTTAAACTTTAAATAAAACTAAATCGAAATTAAATAAAACAAAATTGATTAAAATTAAGTTAATTATATTAAATTTAAATAAATTAACTTAAATAAAATTGAAATAAATTAATTAGCGTGAAATATAACAAAAACTAAACTCAGTTAAAAAGATAATTCAATGAATAATTATAATTATCTAGTCAATTACATATTCGTAAAGGAAGAACAAACAAATTTCATTGCTGAAGAAATAAAAAATAAAATCTTAAAATTTTAAATAGATATTATACAAAAATTAAAAGTTAATTATAGACGCGAAAACCGCTTAAAAGTGGAAAGCATTTAAAATGCTTTTATTACCTTTGTCGAGCCATTAAAATGCTATAGAAGACACATCTTTATTATATAATACAAATAAGTATATTATATAGTGAAAACAAAATATGAAGATATGCACAAAAATGACATTTAATAATTGATTCTGCGAAAGAAAGACACAATTCGGACACTAATTTTAAAATTTGCGCACCTTTTAACAGTTGTCAGGCGTCAGAAAGTTAGATTTCCTAACATATTGTTTTTATTATTTTTGCACACCGGCAACAAGAAATTTGTATTCAAGAAAAACTTAAAAATTAAAAAAACACAGTCACCGACACCCACATAGTTTGCTATACTGTCGTTGGCGCGAGACGAATGCGTAGGAAACTATACATAGTATATAATATATATGTATGTTAATATGTATAACTATATTATTGTATAAGCATATACGGTTTGTCACAGCAGCCAAGTTTATAAAAATGCAAGAAACAAGAAAGAAATTAAAAACAGACATGAAAACCGCAGTGAATGAAGAAACTTAATTTTTTTTTCAATAAATAATAATAATAAATAAAAAGATAACAAAATATTAATAAATAAAAAATGATAAAAATGAGAAATTGCGCAGCAAATTTTTTTTTTCGTATTTGCCTTAGGCTCCACAAACGATAAAAGACAAAGACGTAGTAAGAAGACAAAAAACGAATGAAAATCAAAAATAAGCAAGTGAAGAAAAAGTAGATAATAATTTGAAGTCATAAGTATTTGTTGGCAAAAAAGTGAAGCTGAAGACGAAGTATGTATGTAGGCACTCCAGTATGAGAAAATAATACTTAAAGATAAAAGAAAAAAGTCCAAAAAAAAGTATAACATTTCAAGTATTATTGTGTTGGGTTGGCAGCACCTTGTATGTAGACAAACAGCAATAATAAACAAAAGTGACAACAACAAGAATAACATTTTGAGACAATTTATCAACCCAGCATGTTGTGTTTGTGCTCTAACACTCGGAGCATTTCAGCACTTTACCCTCTCCTCGTGAAATGGTTAATGCGTGCTTTTATTTTATTTTGACTTTTTGCCGACTAAAAAAGTGACATTTGGTTTGTTGTTGTTGTTGTTGTTGTTGTTGGTCTTTCTCGTCAGTTGTTATATGATACTGCTTTTAATGTAATCAGAGTAGCCTTGTTGTTGTTTTCAAGTATAATGTCAGTGAGAAACTAGAGGAGGTAGAGGCAATATCATGAGAAAGCTTTTAATTTTCATTGGTATATATTATATACATACATATGTACATATATATGTATGTACATTGCTATAAACAAATTGATTAAATCAGCAAGCTCCTCGTGATATGATTTCTAAACCAAAATAACGATTATAAGTTGAGTTGAGAATCAGGTGGTCAGTGGTTCGGCCTACCTGGTCTTATTGATACTTATAAAGCGCGAGCTTTTACTTTTCCATGGTGATTTTAAGTATTCTTAATAGCCGCAATGGCCGAGTGGTTGCATACTGACATTCAGTTCGCCATGGTTCAAGTCCGCTTCCGACCAACATCCAATAAATTGTAGAAAAGAAATTCTTCTAATTGCGGTCGCCGGTTCCAGCAGCGAATGTCAAAGCCTACGATCGTATTGCTAACGTAAAATAAAAAGTACTTCTTAAAAATCTATCGGCTGTTCCGTGGTGGCTTAGAATAAACTGTAGGTCCCTCCGTTTGTTGGAAAAAAAACATTAAGATCGTTTTTAGCGTTTCTAATGCAGATATAATATGACTTCGTGATTGGGTTCATCCTCTCTATATATATATATGAATATATATACTTATATATATATACAATATATATGAGTCTCATATATTAATTCCTTTGTACGCTTACTTTGCAATTTTGTTCTTTGTTATTATTTTTCCTACTATATTTATTCGGTCATAATTTATTTTGTGTATTCTCAGTGGTTAATGATGATACATCAAAGTACTTTTTATGTTTGGAAATTGTTGTTGTTGTTTTTTTTTTTTCTTTCTTTTATTTATTTAATTTTTTTCTCATGAGTTTTTTATTTACACTGAGATGTTACGTACGAGTATATAAATACCATTTCTTCGGTTAACAAACTTTTAATGGTTTTTTTGTTTAGTTTTTTTTTTTGTTTATTTAATTCTAATTAGTGAAAAAAT